TACTGACTTGAACCCCGATTCGAACTCGAGACTTACGGGTTAGCATATCGTCCCATATCGATGTAGATGGTATAGGTACATTTGGGTCGTAGACATTTGTGATGTGCGGGTGTATTGTAATTATAGACATGTATGATGTCAATAGAGTTGACGTTAATAAAGAGTCAACACTATTCATTACTAGTCGTTTGTTAGTGTTGAAGTCAGTCTTTGTTTTTGCTAGTGTTAGGGTTAGTGTTAAGGTTAGGTCAACCTTGGTTATCACTGACCGATTAGCAGCAACGCCATTGACCGCTTAACGATAATTAGCCAACTAGCCTAATTAGCGATAGTAATTAGGGCTAATTTATTTCTTTGTGAAGCCATACTGTAGTAACTAGGCAAAAAAATTCCAGGCCAACTTAAAAAAAAAATGAAGTTGTACTTATTTTTAAAACTTATGTTTGCATTCTGAGTACTCATATACAATGGAACGGTGTCGGTGTGGTCGAGAGCTAGAACTCACAAATATAACCTGAAAGTCTTGAGTTCGAGTGTGATTCTTAGGAATTCCACTCACGTCTAATGAATATCAGTTTTAAGTCGGGAAAGTAATAACTGAGCATAGTGCTGACCAGAGGTCAGAGAAACAGATAAACTCTACTTCATCTATCCCTTGTACACCTAGTCCTTCTGCTTCGTTGTCTTCTTCGTTCCCTCCAACACAATTAAGTATAACGTATCAAATTGTTATGCGCCATATATGCCGTTAGCTCTTGATTTTCTTTTTGGATTTGCTTCAATAGCCTTTGTCCAACCCAGAGCAAAACAAGGCAGCAGTTGTTTAATTTTGGCGTTGTCTCTCCTAGAAGAGTGGCTGTCCTCAGCTGTTCAGCCTCTTATGCCCGATGGTTCGAACTCGAGGCTTATCGGTTTAGCAACCATGAGCTTTACCGACTCGACCAGGCCGACCCCACCTAGTCCTATAATGGGGGTACTTTAAACTTTAATCAAAGAATTAAAGGCGCCACTATTTCCTTTACAACCATAACCGATTACCATATTTTTCCCCTGAGACATTCAGTACACATTCAGTACACACGCTTTACGCTACTCAGTACACACCCTGTACGCCACTCTACACAAATAAATGCCATTTGTAACCACCACGCAATTAGAGTAATTGCTACTAGTACGATGCGAGTGTATGTTAGGGGTGGGGGAGGGGGGGGGGGTAAGGGGCAGTTTTATAAAAACTACCCTAAAAAACCCACTTGTAGTTATATAAAAAAAATTAAAAATCCACAAAAACGTTTTCAGCAAAAGCGCTTGAACACACGATAAAAAAAAATGCTAATTGTATACTCCGCTTGATCGCCCATTTCTCATAAACACACCGACACAAAGCATCATCACGCGCAATTTGAAGCGACAAACACGGAGGGGAGACAATGTGACCTTTCCCGCTGACCTATAATTCGGGTAATTATTTGTCTTGTATTACTCCCGATGTGACGCGGTGACGAGGCCCCCCGGTCCTCGTGTTTGACGTCGCGGCAATTGCCCGGATAAAACGGGGAATTCTCGGTGGGTATACGGTATTGAAGCCCGCGGGCGTTAAACGATGAAATTCAAATTTGAGCGGCCACTCAAGTTTTCTGTGGGGTGAATTATTGTGTTAAGTTTTTGTGCTTTAGTTTTATTTTAAAAAATCGAAGTCCGGTTATCAAACTGAATATATTGATTGGGATACGCACTATGTTGACAATGACGCGCTGTGTTAAATCTAGCGCAAGATTGGTTTAATTAGAAAATAATAAAAAAAATTCATACACCGCGACAAAAGGGCCCCCGAAAAGAAAACGAACATATCCAGGTTTTTTTTTAGATTATTGATTCGGAGATGGGGGGGGGGGGGGAACAAAGAATGGTTAAAGTGTATACTCTCTATTTAAATGTAATATTTTGTCTATTTAGTTCCTGGCCAGGAGTTGAAATTGTACTTCTGGGATGTCTCCCCCCCCCGCCCCACGCACCCCCTGAAAGAAGCCTTGAATACTTCGCAATGTTTCGCAATGTTTTTTGAACTGACCAACGCGGATGTTGTTTGAGAGACTATTTTAGAAAACATACCCCCCCCCCCCTCCACTCCCACCCCCACCCCATACACGGTCCTCTATCGTCACAAATATTAATTATTATCGAGCCTTTATCTTTATCAACCAGTCGCTGATGTCACCACCCCCCCCCCCCCCCCCCCACCTTCTTCCACAAAATCCACCGTAACTTTGTGATGTCATTTATTGTCGATCTTCGCTTATAATTAAAAAATAAAAATTTGAAACAGAACGTCTTGTTTGGTTATAAATAGTTCGGGATAGGGCTTAGACTAAAGCTAGCGTTATTGGTGTCACTATCTTAATTAGCACTTTTGTCTTTATGAATTATACATAATTACTAATTAGCCATATTGCAATTATGACTAAGCAAAAATGCATTTTTTTACTTCTTTTGTTTTTACTCATTTCCGGAATACCAGACCAACTCTATTCTCTCCTAAATGACAACCAAATTAAGAATTCCCACACATAATTATAGAACCCAGTCACTAGTACCAGCCGTGTCTATTTCATTTAGTCACTGTTTAACAATCCTCATACAAAAACTCTTTTGTTTAAAAAAAAATAATAACAAAATGGGGCCGATGTTTCACACACGCAAGCGGTCACGTATTGCTGAGCGATCTCCGCAAATGTGGCGCCCCCTCTCGGCGCGTGATTTATTGTTTCTCCCACCAAAGTTAATGAAACATTTTGTAACAAGAGCGAAGCTGTTTGTATTAGGAGTGGAGTGTGAAAGAAAAAAGAAAAATAATTGTAATGGAGTTTTAAAATTATATTTTGTTTTCGCGTAAAAAATTGTTTCGTTTCTATTTTGAAATTTCTTTTTTTTAATTAATGTGTTTTTGTTTAGTTTTAAAACCAAAAAAAAAAAAAAAAAATTAAATCTTTTCTAAAACATGTTAATTCAACCATTTCTTCCTAAAAAAAACTGTTTAGGCAAACTTCAATACAAAAATTAAAATTCAACGAGTTATTTTGATAACTATATTATCAGCTTTAGCTATGGGATACCCGGATTAGCTGTGGAGTATCCGGTTTATCCTGGAATATCTGTTTATCCTTGAATATTCGGTTTATCCTAGGATATCCGGTTTATACTGGAATATCCGTTTATTGTTGAATAATCGGTTTATCCTGGAATAACCATTTATCCTAGAATATTTGGTTTATTCTGGAATATCCGGTTTATAGTGAAATATCATAAAATTTACTTTCTTCTATTTAATAGGTATACATTACCCAGTCTGTCTTGTTCGATTGTTTATCGAACTTGTGTTTTAGATTACTTTTAGTGCGTTATGTCGGCTACCCAAATAAACATTCTGAACAAAATTGGGGCTCTTCAACCTCTTCCTACCCAGAGTCGTAGCGAGCTATTCAGGCGCCTATGAATTTTACGTCCCCTCCCTCATTTAGGCGGATATATAGTTATTCAAGCTGTCCAAAAAACGCCACAGCCCCCAAATAATTTGGAAAAATCTAAATAGCTTTTCATCAGACACTATTCTATAACAATCTTTACTTTGATTGTCACACAATCGATATAGAAAACATTTAAATCAGTCTGTAAATCTAAGCAGCAGTCTATTGTCTTAATTTTGAGTAATGCAGCACACAATGAGCTTTTTATTTTCATTTTTTACTACCTCGTTTGGCGCCCTCTAAGGTGGGCGCACGGTGCTGCCGCCCCACTCGCATTCCCCTAGTTACGCCTCTGTTCCTATCCACGGTTTATATTGTTATTTGCATGTATTGCTGAATCTAGATTTGAATCACGTCATTGTTATATTTCAATATCAGACATTAAAATTTGCCTTGTTTCAACGCTTTAACTAGCTAGTGGTGTAGAAAATAGTTATTGTTAAAACAAAGCTAGACTCTATGCCTACATTTTTTATCATTCGTCACCCGCTTACTCTAATCGAACAGCTAATGTTGAATCATAACATTCTCTGACTAAACAGTTTGTCTTAACAAAATAGATACCTCGCGAATCTTCTGTGCAGAAATGATGAAAAAAAAAATCATTTCTGGGAATTCCGCAACTCAATTCTAGTTCCTACTATATCACATAACCTTGGTTTAAATATGACCCCCACCATAATATGACCCCTACGAGCATCAATCCCCTAACGTCACACCCCTTTTCCTCCGCTAATCCACCCTGTTCTGTTTCTTTTCTCCCCTCTAGAATTGTTACCGCGGGGGTCTTAATCCTGGTAACACGAGAACCATTACAACGCTGTTTAATTTACATTTTAAACACACAACCTCACACAAACTTCCCCGGGCTAAGCTTTGTAACACAAAGACACCCTTGGAAGTCTTATAATATATCACTTAGCGCTTCGAGCCGTGTGCGGCACAAATTTGAGAATCCTCGCTGGGGTTATAGTATATCTTTTAACACCGTGTGTCAAAGATGTGGAACTCTAGATCCTAAAGGTAAATTGGTACTGTGTAGGTACTTCATTTTTTTTTTCTTCCTCTACCAACTACAAGACGGAAAATTTATTTTCACTGGCGGGCAGGTTTCTGAGAAGCTGGCCATATGCTAGGGAGGGGAAAGTAAAGATCGGATTTCCCCCCCCCCCCTCCTCTACACACACACACACACACACACACACACACGCTGTCATGTCACTCGGACTAAACGTGTTCACTATCACGTGACTCCCGTGTCTTAAGAAACAGCTGATTTTCCCAGACTCAGGAGAGTTAATGAACCTTTCGATTAAATACCGACATGTAAGACACATTCATGTTTTCAGCGTACGAGAGTTCTCGTTCCTAAAACTCAACCTAGGACCTACAACCACGGGCTACGCTAGTCGGAGTGAGTGCTTCTATACGCCTCGTGCGCTGAAGACCAAAGTTAGCGGACGAGCGGGGAAACCGCGTGAAGGCTTGCAGTTTTCGGGGTGCCCCTAGCGGCGTTGAGTTTGAAGCGAGAAGTGAGTGTTTCCTTATTCCAGTTTTGGATTATATGTCGCCGATGTTGCTTTTTTTTTCATTTCGTCTGTTTTATCGATTCTATTAAGTAATGGATACGTACTTTAGTTGAATGGATTTTAAAAATTTAAAGACATTGCAGTTCTTTCAAGTAAGTGCTGTTATTTTACTTATTTTTTTAATGTTTTTTTTTTTTACAAATTATTTGACATGTAAAATAATATAAAACAATGGATAAAACAACTATATATTAATCGTCTAGAGATGCAAGTAGGGGTAGACTTGCCCAATTAAAGTTGTTCTGCACTTTTTCTGCTAACTTAATTATAGAAATTATAGGACATAATTAGATGTAAAGATTAGAGGTTGAACTATTGTTCTGTTGCGATTGGATTACAGTTGTGCTAAGGCTAACACTCAGTGTACCGATATTTATCATGGTGACGTAAGGCATCAATGTTCAAAGAAAGTGCCCTGGTGTCTACTAAGCATATTTTACAGACCTTTTTTTTTACAGTGATAAGATATACGTACACACACGTGCACACACAGAAACACACAACACACATATTTTTAAACGCACCTATACAAATAACACTCTCCTTTCTCTCTCTCTCCTTATATAAATATATATATATATATATATATATATATATATATATATATATATATATATATATATATATATATATATATATATATATATAAAGGCCTATATATATATATGTATTTATATGTGTGTGTGTTTATATATAATATACATTTATTTATGTTTCTATAAATATATATGGGTCATATAAATAGGCCAAATATATATGTGCGTGTGTGTATATACATATAAATTATATTTGCCAGGATATAGGCCACATTTATATATATATATATATATATATATATATATATATATATATATATATATATATATATATATATATATATATATATATATATATATATATATCAGACAGTAAAAGTCCTCAAGATAAAGTATTAATGAAAAGATAATAAAAGCTGTTGTGGAACGGAACTGTGTTACTGTGTTAGTCCACATAAGGTCTAGACAAGAACTCGAGCGCTGGAATCGAGAATCCACACTGGGATTGTTATTCGACCGCTAGAGACTGCTTTTCCGTGGTATAGGCGGTGGAGTGGGGGTGGTGGAGGGGGGCGGGAGGTTGAAAGGGGAGAAGAATTAATGTACAGTAGTGTTTAGATGATCTGAATTGTTTCGCCCGTCCCGTCCCGCATCCGGGGAAAGGTCTTTCATTGTTAGGCACGTTCCTCTCTAATAGTGATGGAGGGGTTGGGTTGGGTTCAGGAAAGGGAGGTCATACATCACTGTCGGAGTTGGGTAACTTGGGAATGTTGCGGCATCGGGGTTTGTAATCCGGGGAGATAACTATAGTGAAAACGGATATTTACTTTTTATACCATAAAAAATATTGTGTTTGAAGCTGGGTTATGTTTATGATAATTTAATCCATGATGCAGATAAGGAGGATTAACACGTGTGCGAATGTAAGACATTACGTAATTGTTAATTCTCGAAAAGAAAGTTTTAAAAAAAAATCAACTTTTAAACTGTTTACGTTTATCTTGATAAACTCCCGGCCTCGGAGGTGAGCCGAAGCCCCGCTTAACTCCCCTTTCACGCACTATCGTAACTCACAAACCCTAGATAACAAACAGATTTAAAATAAACTCACCTATTAAAGCTACCAGCCCCCATCTATCTCTAACCCACCTCGACCTTACCTCTGATATAATCTTTACAAACCGGTTCCAGCAAAGCCGGTAACGTAATCTAATTTATCCCCCCCCCCCGCCCCCCCCCCCCCCCCTCCCCCCATCGGAACAAGATGACGTCGATTTCAGTCAGCGGGAGATTTAATTCAACTGCAACGTAGACAATTTGTCCCTACCTTAGAAAGAGCAGTTCTTCTTGGTAGCTAGATAAAGCTACCTCAGCTGAGGTAAGAAAGAAGGAACATACCAAGTTATCTCAGTTAAGGAAGAAGGCACATACCGAGTTATCTCAGTTAAGAAAGAAGGCACATACCGAGTTATCTCAGTTAAGAAAGAAGGCACATACCGAGTTATCTCAGTTAAGGAAGAAGGCACATACCGAGTTATCTCAGTTAAGGAAGAAGGCACATACCGAGTTATCTCAGTTAATGAAGAAGGCACATACCAAGTTATCTCAGTTAAGGAAGAAGGCACATACCAAGTTATCTCAGTTAAGGAAGAAGGCACATACCAAGTTATCTCAGTTAAGGAAGAAGGCACATACCGAGTTATCTCAGTTAAGGAAGAAGGCACATACCAAGTTATCTCAGTTAAGGAAGAAGGCACATACCGAGTTATCTCAGTTAAGGAAGAAGGCACATACCGAGTTATCTCAGTTAAGGAAGAAGGCACATACCGAGTTATCTCAGTTAAGGAAGAAGGAACATACCAAGTTATCTCAGTTAAGGAAGAAGGAACATACCAAGTTATCTCAGTTAAGGAAGAAGGCACATACTGAGTTATCTCAGTCAATGAAGAAGGCACATACTGAGTTATCTCAGTTAAGGAAGAAGACACATACCGAATTATCTCAGTTATGTTAAGGAAGATCTCATGAGCGACCAAAGCTTTCATGAAAGAAAGTAAATAAGTTTTAACTCCTTTTCTGTGATTGAATATTGTAATCTATCGAGTGATTTAAATTTGTTATCTCCCTTTAGTTTCGAACCTTTTAAATTAATTTTTAATGACTAATTAAACTTCTTATTTAATAAAAAGTAGATACATTTGCATTGTCATCGAAGTGGAACGTGCCTGGAAAGGTTGAACGAAATCGCTGCATTAGAAGTGGTTCAACATTGAGTTACAAGATTTGCCACAAACCCACAAACAATCAAACAAACAAACAAACAAATAAACAGATGTTGCGAACTAATTTAAAGCTTGTAAAAAAACAACTTCAGCACACGAATGTAAAAGTAAAGTAAAGAATCCTTTTTAGAGATAGCGATGAAGTAGAGTTCCAGTGGCGTTGGCAGGGGGGTTAGGGGGGGTCATAACCCCCCCCCCCATAGACCCCTCGGTATATATATATATAAAGTATGAGGGAGGGGGGTGCAAATCGAAAGTTTGAGGAGGGGTGCAAATCTAAATTTTGAGGGGGGGGGGTGTGCAAATCGAAAGTTCGAACTCGAGACTTTAAGGTTAGCAGTTTAGCGCTCTACTGCTAGGCCACGCAGTCCCAATCAGCACAAAATATTCTATATACATATATATATATATATATATATATATATATATATATATATATATATATATATATATATATATATATATATATATATATATATATATATATATATATATATATATATATATATATATATATATATATATATATATATATATATATATATATATATATATATATATATATCGCAGACGCGTATAGATTGGTGACTATATAATAGTATGACACATGGATTCACATGAATCTTAATCTTGCAAGTTTTTTTTATATAAAGGGCAATAATGATAAGTTTTCACCCATTTTGTCACTCTGTACAACTTTACGTTCTTTCTGGTGCCAAAAAAATATTACAACGAGATCTAAATGACCTTGGAGCGCTCAACATTGCGGACGTGCATACGTAGACCGCAGATAGCAAACACACTCTCAGCACATTAGCAGACACACTTGACACCCCCCCCCCCCGCGCTACACACCAGAGTCTGACCGACCGTCCACATTGACACTCCCCCCCCCCCCCCCCCACACACACACCATAGCTACACACCAGCCGAATCTGACCGACCGGACGCTGGTTAAGGCTAATTAACGCCACCTGACATCTGGCCCCCCTGCAGGTTATACCAACATAGGTCAAGTGGCCAGAGCAATTTTTTGACCCTAGAGCCAAGGAGCGAGTACTCTAGTCATAACTCATGGCGCAGATATTTGGCTTCACATCCCCATCTTTATCTGGCAAGTGTTTTTTATCATAGGAAAAAAAAAAAAAAAAAACGTTTCAACGAAAATGCTACATAATTGAAAAAAATAAATAAATACAAATCTTGCTCTTAGTTCATCTGAAACTGTGCATCAAATTCTTCACTTATTAAAGTTAATGTTTAGTAAAGTCTCGTGGTTTGAATCAACCAATTGAACTTTGTACATGTGTGTATATTTAGCATAACCCCACTTAAAACTTAAACTTTGCTCAATTGATTAAAAAAATATTTCTTAGCAATTTAATATGACTAATAATACGAAAGTCAATATGACATAACTACTATAAATCAAAGGCTAGAATTTTTTTTACTGCTAAAAATAGAAAGTTGTGTGAATTGGACGTGAATTGCAATAATAATTGCCTCTATACATCGATGATTTTTATTCATCAATTTGTATTCCGTTTGTGTTGGGTTGGTATAATTTCTAATTCATCAAATATCCCATTCATACTTAATGAATATCAAATTCTTATATACATTTTCTGTTTGTTTTAGATGAATATCCCATTTATACACCAAGTTTAATTCAATTTATGCCCCATAAATATTCCTACGTGTTTTCTTATTACCCTTAAAAATGTCCATTTATACTTCATAAACATAGTTTGTAAGTGTCCACTAGATTCAATGACCTATCAACAAAAAATTGCTTCCATTTATGCTGAAGGTACATGGATTGTATCCATCAAACACGCGTCCAATAAGTCTCGATAACCAATCCATAAAAATGCTTTCATCTATGCGCAGTGCTCATCAATTTTATCCATCAAACATGGATCCACTTAACCTCGAATACCAATCCATAAATATGCTTCCATCAATGCGCAATGCTCATCCATGTTTTCCATCAAACATGGGTCCACTTAGCCTCGAATACCAATCCATAAAAATGCTTCCATCAATGCGCAATGCACATCCCTTTTATCCATCAAAGTCGTGTCCATCTTCAATAATCGTTTATCACCCCCCCCCTTTTTTTCCCCACCCCCGGGCAATGGAATCCCAGCACAGACACGGCAGCTTCGTCGACCCGTGCGTGCCACCGCCACGCTCCATTAGCCCAGGTCACGCTACAAATACCTCCCCCCCACCCCCCCCACAACACGACCCATGATCTAAAGGGATCTGACA